CTACCCGAAGTCTCTGGAGCACTTAGTGCTCCGCTACCATGAAAAAACTCACACTACTGAAGTGTGACGACAAACAATCAGAGCTCAACCCTGTGACAAGTTCCAACAACTCCCAGAGTCCTTTTGCTGGTCGGCTTGAGCCACACAAGAAGTGTGGGAAGTCAGCTCAGGTACTGGCTGCACTGGGAGGTGACAGAAGTCTTGTATCTTAACAAACAAACAAACAAACAAACAAACAAACAAACAAACAAACAACAAACAAACAACAAACAAACAAACAAACAAACAAACAAACAAACAAACACACAAACACACAAACAAACAAACAAAGCAAAAAAAATGCAGGTCCTCTGTTGGCAAAAAGGCGGCTAAGGCTCGAATTTAGGGTGCAGGGCATCAAGGTCAACAGTTTCAAGACATGCTCTCTTCTGCAAAGACTGCCTTGTGCAGATATCGGCTCCCCCTCGGGTACGATGGTCCAATAACTGGATTTGAGATGGACTGGCACGAAGCGGTAGCTACCAGCGCCTTGAACTTTGGCGACTCCATGTGCGTAGGTGCAACAAGAAGGGGACCATGGATAGCGTAGGTAATCAAGAAGTGCTAAGCCAAGGGTTTAGGGTTTAGGGTTTTAGGTTAGGGTTTGGGGTTGGGGGTTTTAGGTTTTAAGGTTTAGGGTTTAGGTGGACGTCACAGGATGGCACGGCACGCGATACACGGGATGGGGCAGGAAAGGATACTGGGTGCCGCCCAACGGGACAGGACGCCGCGGGACGAACGACAGCAAGACCTCAGACGGGACATATATGAGGGGCTTTCAAGGCCCAAACAACCCCATCTTGGGGGGATAGGATTTCAAGCTCAGAGGTTTGGGGCACAGCAATCTTGTTGCACTCTTCGAATTTCATGAAAATGTCTCAAGAATGAACAATGCTGCACTTCCGCGATATCGATAGTGCATTGTGTATCCTGGAGCTGTCAAGTCGATAGGACAGGAACACTGCCCGGCCGGCAGGATGATGCGTGGCACGTCCCACTGAAAGGAGATGCATGAAAGGTGTTTAGGGTTTAGGGTTTAGGGTTTAGGGTTCAGGGTTCAGGGTTTAGAAATTGGGCTTGGGGTTAGGGTCTATGGAGAAGGCCTGGCCCACCAGGCAACGATGTCAGTCATAGGCTAAACCCCAAACCCTGAACCCTAAACCCTCGGGCCAAAACCCCACACCCTAAACCCTAACCCTAAAACCTAAACCCTAAACCCTCGGACCCTCCCCCCCCCCCCCTAAAAATTAGATGACTTTTTGATGTCTTGTGGAAGTTGGGAGACGTGTGTCCATGCATCATCCAGGGCTGCCTATATTAAATGGGCCAGGCGGGCGCTTGAAGGTCTTCTGCTGGAAGCAGGCGATTTCTCGATCCCTTCTTGCTTCGGAGTATGTTGCTGAGCTATCCCTGGGCTTGGGGGGCCCTGGTTTGCATGGTTACCCACCAGCAAAATTCGGGGTTTGGGGCTTCGGGTTAAGTGGGTTAGTGCATTGGGCAACTTAAATCTGGCAAAGAGAACAGGGAACTCCTGGTCTCCAGGTCAAGGTCACAAACCGTCCTGTTGCCGTGGTCGGGGGAAAAATCCCAACAAGGTAAGGACCTTGAACTAGCTGTATGGGAGTTTACGAACATATGGGGACCCCTAATATTGGGCCCCCAAATAGTAGGATTCCCTTAGAATAAGGACCCCAATGAGGTACCCCTATTTTCGTGAACCCCCACATAGGTTACTCTCGGTGAACATTCAGACTTCTACGAAACTGGAGATCGAGGGTCGCTGACAGTCATATCATTCAGGGGTACATTTTCTGTCCCCTCGCTGCCCCGAGCGTGCTCAGGGCGCGCATGCTTTTGCTTTTTGGGAAGGACTTGCGCAAGCTGGTCTGCAAGGCCTGAGAAAGGGCTTGAAAAGGCTTTGGAAGTTCCAGAACTTAGAACTTCGAGAGTTTAAGGCTAAGGGCTCAATGGGCTGAAAGGGCCACGCAGTCTCCAGGCTCTCGAGAATACTCGGCGTACGCCGTGCGCGCCAGGCGAATTCGTGCAGGGAGTTCGAGAACACTGAAACGCATGGGCTGGCCTCGGAGCGATATGAGCCTCGACCCAAGCACGGGTTTGTGCCTCGGCTGCTCCAGTTGAAACAGCTCCTCCAGCCTATGCCGATTAGAAGAGTCGGGTGCTGCGGAACTCCGTTCGCAAGGGTGTGCGCGCGCTTGGGAGTTGCGTTCCAGCCGGGAAACACAATGGCTCGGGATTCCATCGCAGATGGCTAGCTAGGGCAGCTGCTTGACAGACGCTTTGCTCTTCTTGGCCCATTCTTGGCAGAGAGGTTGCTGTGGCTTCGGTTTCTCGGGCTTCACCGACCCCGAAAGCCAAGCACTTCCCGGCTCGAGCAGCGTTTTAGATCACTCTGCCCCCTCCCCCCACCCCTTAACACTCGCGAGTAGCAAAACGTAAGCTGGAAAGTCAAGTACCCGCGATGGGGTCGGCGTGAACCAGTTACAACGATTGGCTCTTGCTTGGCCCGCAACCTCAAACTCAAGCAAATCAAGCTTGTACCCTAAGCTTGCGCCCGCGAGGGGCGATAGTCCCCAAATAGGAGGGTTCCCTTATAGGGACCCCAAGGGGTACCCCTGTCGGAAACCCCCATACGATGTACTCCCAAGATGGTGCCAAGGAACCCCCTGAACCCTAAACCCTAAACCCTAAACCCTAAACCCTAAACCCCTGGGGTGAGGTAAGAAGCGGCGAAGAAGGACGTTCTCAAAGCCGGCTCTTAGAGTTCGATTCCCCGAAGCACCGGAATCTCTGTCTGACCCCAACTGATTCGAGAGACCATGTGGACGGTGTCCTTGGCAAAGGGTTTAGGGTTTAGGGTTTAGGAGTTTAGGGTTTAGGGTTTAGGAGTTTGGGGTTTGGGGTTTAGGGTTTAGGGTTTAGGGTTTAGGGTTTAGGGTTTAGGGTTTAGGGTTTTTTTGGGCTTTTGGTCTCCGGGTTACGGGCGTTCAAGACGTCTAGACGGGGTCCTTAGCAAGGGTTTGGGAGGTTCGTCTCCGGGGTTGCGGGGGGTTCAAAATGTTTTGGGGGGTTTCAGGGCTTAGTTTGACCCACTCTACAAGGCTAAAGGGACGTCCCTAAACCCTAACAATCAAAAACCCTGAGAAGGGAGACGCTGGGCCCAGCTTAACGCTTCTTGGCGTCGCTTCGTGGTTGGGGTCCAAGGTTTTTGGGCGGGGTCCTCAACACAGAAAACGAAAGGCCATCCAACTTCAAGAACTCATGTGTAGAGTTACGGCATAGGGTTTGATTTCGGGTTTTAAGAGCTTGTCGCTTGAAGTCTAGGGGCCCTCCGGTAAACAAGAGTCAACTGCGACCTAAACTCACCAACTACTTGTGCATTCTACACTAGCACCGAATTAGGGTTTTGGGTTTTGTTGGTTTACCCAGCTTGGAGCAGACAGGCAACTGGGGGCTTTCACAAGCATCTAGGGTCAGGAAACCCCGAAACCGCTAGCGAAGCTTGCCTTATCGCCCCCGTCACACCCGCCGGTTTCATCAATCTCGAGTCACAGGAAAAGAAGGTACAAAGTAAACATGGTAAGCTATGCACGACTCAAGGGAAGTCTGTTGTGGCAGGATTATTCCCGAAGTTTTGGGGGTTTATGGTGCAAGAGCAGCTCTGTGTACGGCGAGGAGGAATACGTGATGGCAGAAAGGGATCGTGCATGGTGGCCTCCCACTTCGTCCAATGACCCTTGAACCCCAAACCCTAAACCCTAAACCCTAAACCCTAAACCCTAACCCTAAACCTCATCCGATACAGCCTGCGAGATGCGACATCTTGAGCTTTTTTTTCAGAGGAGTTGGAAATCAGGTAAGCACCCAGGTATTTGACTTCGTCGGCAAGCGGGGTTGGTTGGGAAGTTGAGAAGCAGGCACATCGCCCGAGCAGCCTGTGCAGGAACAAGGCTCGGAAGGATGAGATTGATGGAACATTCGTCTCTTTACACGGCGCTGTCTACCAATCTTCGTTGAGGATGAGGCTTGTGAGATGTTCTCACGTTCACGGGCGCTATCCTCCCACATTCCATGGCAATCACGTCGAACTTGTGGACGAGCTGCCTGTTTACACGGATGGCTCTTGCCCTCACAACCGAACAGTCGCCTAGGATAAATTGAGGGCAGACCCAGTTGATGCTCGCCTCGTCTGGCCCCAACCTTGAGGGCACACCTAGCTGATGCTCATGATGCTCACTGGGTCCTGCAACACAAGCGAACTGAAAGCACACATCGAGCTATTTGACTACTCCTTCTTCTGCCGACGTCGACCATCTTTGACAGCACGAAGATCACGATACTGACGCGCCCCTTCTCCTTGCGCCCGTGGGAGCTCTCTCTCTTTGGACCTCCTCAGCAAGAGGGGGAGAAAGAGGCCAAAAAGGCCGGGTTGAGAACAGCGCAATAGCAGCAGCCACAGCGAACACGGAGAACAAGGCAGACAAGCCGCACAGAATCGTACGCCGCGCCGGCCAGCGCACAGCAGCGCCGGGCGAGGAGTCACCAGCCCACGAGCGACCAGAAATACCACCACCAAGCTCCACACCGCGAATCGGCAAGCCGCAAGTGACAAGAAGCACCAAGGACGGGGTAGAACATGGGAGGAACCAACTACAAAAGGCGAATGCCCGCTTGTCTCGGCTCCGAGGCATTGAACGTGCAAACGGGATTCCCGGGGTACGGGAGAAGCTGCGCGGGGGCCGCAGAACGCCACGAGCCTCGTTGCAAGGCAGCCGCCAGCATTGCACTGCAAGAAGAAAAAGAAGAAGAACAACAAACTCAGGGCAAGGTAGATCCGGTACATGCGAAGCCAGCACCTTCAAATATCAGATCCCCACTGACGAGCTGTCCAGCTGCGGGGCGACCCTGTGATGCAGGCTGCCGACCGGTACGACATTCACCCC